TTCCATACACAGAGAGAAGCTCTATTGTTCGAATATGAAAAAATAGAAGCAAAATAATATGGAACCTATGAAAAGATTCTAAACACAGATGGAGAGCACAATACTTACATAGCAATAGAACAGCATTCTTTCTCAAAAGGTTTACTGCAGGAAACAGACATAAACTTTAGACATTTGTCTTATATTGTCAACAATATTAAAACAAAAGACAACTCAATGAGATCAAAAGGCAGCTGTTATAAGAGTTAGAAAAAAGGAACCAGATGAGATAAGCAGAGAATGTTACTATTAAACACATGAAAAGAGAATTTTTAAGTGCATAAAAGAGTAAAGAAAAGAGTCAATGGTGCAAAAAATTACATCAGCAATGTGGAAGATGATTTTGAGGAACTCACTCAAAATCAAGAGAGAAAGGAAAAATAAATTCTTGAATAAGGTGATGCAACAGATAGATAACAGAAGAGAAGGATCCAAAATACATATTAATAGTGTATTTGATGGACAGAATAAGAAGAATTGAGCAGAAGTAAATATTAATGATTTAATAAAAGAAAACTGTCCTTAAACCCAAGGGCTACACTTATAGATCAAAAGGCTTCAATGAATATTAAATAGATTTCTACTAGAGAGAGATATCTTCAATCTGAGGGTAAAATAAGGTAGATTTAACAAGTTGCCTACCTTCCTATTTCAAAAAATAGATTAACTTTAAAATTATCCTCTGTAACATGAAATGGCAAAGGTAATCAACCACATTTGTGGGGGAAAAGGGTGAAGCCAAAACATTCTATATGGGCCCATTTCGGTTAAGATGCTTCACATTGCCAGAGACAGATGCCACAAGAGGGAAAGGCAAACTACTCTGAGTAGCAGTCTCAGAGCAGTCCCACACAACAGGAGAGAAGCTCCCCACCAAGGGACCAAAGGAAAAGGAGACGGGAAATGATGTCACAGAGACCACATCCACAGCTGCCACTTTCCACTGCATTCTGTCCTGTAGCCTCCCACTGAATTGCCTGCTTCCTCTACATTCATTTCCACAAAATGTTCTTAACATAAGGTTACCACCTGCAGTATAATCACAACACCAACATATCTCTTCCCCCAAAGGGGGGTAACTCAGCATCCCATCTGGCTATCAATCCATTCACCTGCAAGTCCATTGTCCCTGGAAGATGTGTGGCCCTCTCATTCAAGGTCAGACACAAACTCAGGTTCAAACTCATGCAACCCGAGGCTAAATGGTAGACTGAGCCACTTCCAACAAGCCTAACGTTGCAATGATAGAGAGAAAATAGGTGTGCGCAGTAGTGACTCTTATTTAGAAAAGAGAAGGGGGAATCACTTCAGTGGCTACTCGTGTATGAAACCTCCTGCAGTAGAGAAATGGAAAGATCTCCTGCCTGCTGTTGGAGTAAGTCCTCAGTCAGACCACTGGGCTAACTGCTCTGTTAGGCATCATCTTCACACCTGAGTGGGGCACAACAGAAACTTTGTAACAACACCTGCTTAGCAGACCTTTTCTAAAGGGCGAGTCACTTGGGACCAGCAATTTTAGGGGCTCTAGACAAACACTAGATCCTAGTAAAGAGGCTTAGGGTTTCTCTCTTAAGAGAGTTTCCAAAAAATGTAGTTACTATGATCCAATTTGATTTTGAAAATTAGACAGCCCGTGCTGTGGCCTCTGCATATTGGTTCCACCCATACTGTTCTTAACTTACTAGAGTCCTCTTCTCATCCAGATCTGGAACCAGATCTTACAGAACCACTCTTTGTTGCTGCCCCTGATCATCACAAATTACTGAGAGAGAATTTTTATGCTCTTTGACTTTGCCTTTGAGAGAATGTTTTAATTCTGAATAAGTAGCAGAAGGCATTTGAGAGCGACTTGGTATACCTCCAATGGTTGCAATCTCATTTCTCAATAAATTTCCGTGATAGGGAGCTACTAGGGTGGCAACTAATGATCAACACCTCCCATCACACTCACACTTTAAGTGTGACTTGGATTAGCTGAATGATTTCTAAGATGTTGGGTAATAAAAACATTGTAGATTCTGTCTTGGGCAGTTCCCCTGTCTTCACCTCATTCACTGACTGTGGGGAAATCCATCTACCATGTTTTAAGGCAGCCTAGTGGGGAGGCCCATGTGGCAAGGTTATCTATTCTGTCACCTACATGAGATAGCTTGGAAGCAAACACTGTCTCTACCCAAGTTGAGTCTTTAGATAAACCCACAGCTTCAGCTCACACATTAATTGTAGTCTTTTGAGACATTCTAGGTCAGAGGTATTCATCATTGCTATGATGATTTGTACCTCATAGGCAGGGAGATAAATGTTTATTATTTTAATCTACTACATTGTACGGTAATTTTTATGCAGCAATAGATAATTAATACAATTTTTAAAATTTCCTGCTCTTCTTTGTATTAGTTTGAGTTTGATGTAAAGGATTTATGAAAGTGTATGATGATCTGTCTACTTAGATGGCAGATCACAACAGATTACACTTGTACACTATTCCTTTCCTGCTTCCAGACAGGTAGCTGGGACCAAACTGTGATTCTTTATGGTAACCTTTACTATTCTATCAACAGAAATAAAGAGAAGAAAAAGCATACTACTCCAACATCCTGAAAACATTCTAAAGCTTCAGATTCAATAGATACACAGACCAAATCCTAAGATAGATTGAGCACCAGCTCACACAATATAGATGTTCCTTTAAAAACCAAAAATAGATCTACTATATGATCTAGCTAACCCACTTGTGGATATGTATCCAAAGAAAATGCAATCAGTGTATCAAAGAGACACCTGCATTCCCATGTTTATTGCAATACTACTCAGGGTAGGCAAGGTATAGAATCAACTGAGGTATTCATCAGTGGATGAATGAATAAAGAAAATACGGCATTTATAATGGAATATTATTCACCCGAAAGAAATTGAGATCTTGTCATTTGCTGCAAACTAAATGGAACTGGAAAATACTATTGGGTAAAATAAGCCAAAACAGACAGGTAAATACTGAATGCTCTCTCTCATACATGAAAGCTAAAAGAGTTGATCTAAGTGTAGAAGGAAGTAGAATATTGATTACTCGAGGCTAGAAAGAGTAAGGGGAGGGAGGATAGGGGAAAGTTGGACAATGGGTACTAAAGTATAGTTAGATAAAATAAATAAATTCTATAATGCATAGCACAAGTGGCGTGACTAGTGCACAGTATTGTGTATATAAATTATAAATTGTATAAGAACTAGAAGAGAAAAGCTTGAAAGTGCAAAAAACAAGGAAATGATATGGAAATACAAATTACCTTAATTTGATCATTACACATTGTATACATATATTAAAATATCACATAATAGTCCATAACTATGTGTAATTATTACATTTTAATTTAAAAATAATAATAAAAAAGACAGAGCCCTAGCTCTATAGTTGGCAGCTCAATTAGTTGCTACACTATGACATAATAAATATAACAAATTCCCAACCAGATTTGGGGACATCCTCACCACATCGGAAACCATCTCAATTTAGCCACTTCTTAATTAGGGTTTTGTAATATACTTAGACCAACTTAAATTAGGTACAGTCAAATCCAGAGGCTCAGGTGATGACTTCAGACCTCATAACTTTCTATCCATATCTTATCTTGTCTCTCCTTAGCTTTAGAAGGCAGTGTCACCATATAGAAACCATGATGTCTCCTGTTGATCCTATCAACACACTTCTCAGCTGATCCTACTAACACACCTTTCAGAGTAACGACATCTGGGAAAATAGAACTTCTCCCATAACTTCATAGAAATCCTTGTGGTTAAGGATGAGCTTCTCATAAAAGAAGAGTAAGATAAATTTTCTAAAGGCATTTGACAAAATGAGGTGAGCAAACAAAAACTATAACACTCAATTTTGCTATTCAAATTGTGGTCCATGGGAGAAAAAAGTGTGGTCCATAGGCCAGCAGCATCAACATCTCCTGAGCATCTTAATAAATGTTAATGCAGCATCTCAACCTCCACCCAGACCTTCTCAATCACAATGCATTTACCAGGTTCCCTGTATACTCGTGAGCACAGAGAAGTCCAGAAGAGCTGCATTAATACCACCCAAGTGGCCAACCAAGTGAGAACACAATGGAAAAACATTTATGCATCAGGACTCAGAAAGTGTAATACCATCTATTCTCCCTGAAAGAAGAAATTCAAAGATGTCCAGACACGGGGGGATTAAAAAGTCCAAGAATGGGAATGCTGAGCTTTAAAAGGACAAACTGTGAGCTTTGAAACCATTAAAAATAGAATTAGGAGTTAACAGGATGTCTGTCGAGCTGCAGATTGACTTTTTGATCCTCAAATTCCTCATCTCTAAAGGGAATGAGATGTTCCATCTGAGTCTCAGGCCTGGCTGCACACTGGGATTACTTGCAAAGACTTATATACCATTGCCAGGCACCACCAAACTAACTGAATCAGAATCTCCAGTGATGAAGAAGGCAATATTCTTTAAAACTCAGATGATTTTATTAAGGCTCTATGTTTTCATGATCGCAAAACCAGTTATGTACCATAAAAGGCAAAGAACTAGCTCTTGCGTAGCTTTTATTACAGCATCCTAGATTCTACCATCCCTAGAGTCTACCAAGCCACCACCTATTGTAGTTTCCCTTTATAGCTGAGTAGGGGGTGTGTGTTGGGAGGGATTATCCCCTTTTTATAATTCTGAATGTTCTTTAAGGAGTACACATCATACTTAAAGGTAAGCGTTTCTTTCTCAAGTTCCTTGTGGCTTTCTGTGTGCAAGTTTAAGGATAGATGCTGAGACCTTCTAGTTTGAGTGTTAGGTGTCATCAAAGCTGAAAAGAAACCAGAAAGCCACTCTGTATATAAAGGTAGAATATGGAGCTCTTTGGGGGAGAAAAAAAGAGTAAAGAAGCAATTCAGAAAAGGATGAGGAAATGTGAAAAGTACAGACAGTATGGCTCACATTTTATTGAAATAAAAAAACATGGTTAATGGAGATGGGTTTCTTACAGAGGTCCTAAAATGCAACTGAAATTAATGGTAATGGGAAAATGGGGAAAATGGAAATAGCATCTGCAGATGAAGTTACTGGGCTCTAAGAGGAGCCTCAGCAAGTCCTGCACAGCTCTTGGAGAGAAGAGCAAGCTCACAGGCGTCATGGCAGTTGTATCCAGATCTCCTTGAGTAATAAATCCCCTGTGACAACTGTTTGCATCTCCTCTTGGCAGTACATAGCTCACTTCATACTGCTGTTCATTTTTTCAGGAGTATCTGCTGAGATGGGTCTGAGGACACAAAAGCAGGTAGAACATAGGTTCAATGTACAGAGGTGGTAATAGACATCAAACAGATCATTACAGTATTAAACTTATAATTACAAACTGAGGCAAGCATTCTGAAGAGAAGGAGTATGGTTCCATTATAGCAGATCAAAAAAGAATCCATGATGGGCAAAGTGGTCAAAATATTTGTTCAGAAGAGAATGTTTCAGTTTAGATCATAAAGGCATGAGGATCATGCTGTGGAGCTTGGTTCTCATAGAAGATCAATAGGAAACCATGGAAGATTTCTAAGTGGAGACTAAAAAAATAGCTGCAGCAGAGAGAACAGATTGAAGGGCTCAGAGTAGATGTAGGGAGGCTAGTCAGCAACCCCTTCCCATAGTCCAGCCTAGGATGATGGTAGCTTGGATCATGGCACTAGCAATGAAATGGGAAGATGTGGTTGAATTTGAGAGACATCTGGGATATAAACTGGCAAGACTGTGCAAGGTCCAATTGCAGGAGGGCAAGAATGATTTTACCACACTTTCTGACTAGCAATGGATGGTGGTGTAGTTTAGAGGCAAAACAAATATGAACTTTACACAAGAATGGTTCACCTCTCTGGCTAACACTGTCTACAGCAAAATGTTCAAAATAGGTAAGCTAGCTAGTCATAATGAAGAAAGGATCCTTACTAGGTATTTTTATGCCCTTTCTTTGTGCATTCAAATTTACAGATAGTCCCTAAACTGCATGTTCCATGCCTATCATTAATTAAAGATGAGGGGATGATAATACGTTTTCTGAGGAATTATCTTGGCACCTTAGAATTTCTCACTAACCAAAGAGAGTTGTTCAGTCTGCTCAATCACAACTTAGTTCTAGACTGTGGTTGTTTAAAAGGCCAGGCCCACGCCCTCTGGAAGGGCACAAATACTTTGGCTGTGGCATGGTGTTACAGAATACCTAAAACTGGGATATTTATAAAGCATAAAGGTTTATCTCGGTTCATTGTTCTAGAGGCTGTGAACTCCAAGAACACAGTGCTGCATGTTCTCAATCTTTTACCCAAAAGCCAGTTTCCATACTACAACTCTTCCCAAAGTAATTAACCTAGCCCCACAAAAGTGCTCTATCTTAATCCTTCTTAACGACATAATCACGTCTTTAAGACCCATCACCTGGCACCAACACGATAACAATCAGATTTCAACATGAGTTTCAGGGAGACACAGTACATTCAAGCCACAGAACATGGCAAAGATCTCTAGTGCCTTGGTGCATCATTCTCTGTTTTCTGTAATGTGGTCCAGCAGTGAAAGGAAGGCCAGAACCCAGGTCTCTATTTCTCTCTTAAAGTATTAAAGTCCTCACTCAGGCCACCAGGGGAAAGCAGAATTGTACTGGCTCTATTTCCTACTGTTTCTGATTATAACCCTCTCAGGACTCTCCTCTCTTGGGGATGTAGGCCGAGATTTGTGCATGAGTTGAGGAAAAGAGCTCTGGTATGTAGTTCTAAACTAGCTCTGCCTCCAACAGTTTATATTCCCCTGGGAAGCCCACCTTAATACTTTAAGTATCAACTTCCTCATCACCAAAGCATAGACCATCCTTTGTGCCTGGCAGTTTTTCTATAAGGTAAAAAAGAGTTGATCTCATTTGTTATGTCCTCCTCCTTGAAATATTTTCTTCACTTGCCTTCTGGGAGGCATTATTCTGCTGATCTTTCTCCTATATCATTGGATGTTGCTTCTAAATCTCTGCTGATTCCCACTTTGCTTCTTCACCTTTAAAATTTGACTTTCCCTAAGGCTAAGTCTTTGGGCCACTTTTCTTCTCCCTCTTCCGTACTCCCTAGTGATCTCATCAATCCCTGTGACTTTAAGCATTACTTACACCCTAGTCTATATCCACAGCTGCAATATCTCAACTTATTAGCTACTTTCTTTCTTCCCACATTTCCATTTATACTTTAAGGCTAATATGTCTAAACCTGACCCTTAATTTCTTGCTATCCATCTTTCCTTCACTATTTCCCACCTAATTTATGTTAATACTATTTTCTCCATTTTATTGAGACCAAAAAGCACAGGAGTAGTGCCTGGTCCTCACTTCTTCCTTCTCTAAGAGCATTCCATGACCAGTAACTGTGGACACTTCCCTTAAGGCACACCCTGAGTCCAACTACTCCTCCTGACCTCCACCAGCACCATCCCGCCCAGTGGACCATTTTCCATCTCCAATTTCTTCAGGTGCCTCCTAAATGAACTGTCTGTCTATTCCTGCATGTTCTCAATCTTTTACTCAAAAGTCAGTTTTCATTCTACAACAGGTTCTAGACTATGTCACTTCCTGCCCTTCACTGCCTGGTATGTCTCTTCCCACTTAGATCAGTTCCAAAGTCTAATTAACCTTGAAGTCCCTTGGCCCACCTTTCCATCCTTACTCCTACTCCTCTCCCCCTACTCACTGAATGAAGCCACACTACCACTCCCATCCCTTGAACATATAGCACCCTCCTGACTTCTGGCTTTCTCACATGATGAATCTTCTTTCTGCAGGGCTCAGCTGCCTCCTTGCTTCATTCAGGTCTCTGCTTTAGTTTAGCATCAATTCATCAGAATCCTCCTTGACCACTTTCTTAAAACCCCTAACCTGATCCCTCTTTAGCACCTTACTCTGACTTATTTTTTGTCAGTATGTGTATCCCTATTTGACATGGTAATTCTCAGTTATTTAAATCTTAGTCTCTCTATAAAAAAACCAAACAAACCAAGATCCTAAGGGACAGGGCTATGTCTATCTCATTCACTGCTGAATGGCCAGCATGAAAAGACAGTCCAGCTCACTAAACATTTGTTGGCTAAATGAATTAGTGAATAAATGAATGCCTCGTTCTATTTAAAGGAGGCTAAAGAAAGAATCACCTGTAAGACCCAAAAAGACTACAAAGGAAAACTCTGGCTACCAGAAAATATTGCCTGAGTTTTGGAGCAGGTTGAGAAAGATTGAGGGGGAGGAAACACTAGGAATAAAAAAAGGAAGCTGCAATTAAAAGGAGGCAGGGAAGTTACAGTGCCTTGCTGAAAGAAAAGACAAAAAACAAGAATAAAGAATAAGGATATTGAGCTTAAATACTTCCTCAGACCTTAGAGCCACTGAAGTGTGAATGTATATAATATAATCAGGAGAAAGACATTATAAAAGGGTATTGCACATTAGGGAAAAGCAAAGGGAGAGAGCATAGATGGAAAAGAATAAAAATATGACTCTACTGTGTTTACAAAAAGCTATGATGTTCTTAACTGAATGTTTGCGTAAATGGTTTTGGTTTTCCTGGTGAGGGAAAAGGGGCTGCAAATCATGTGTGTATACTACGGAAATTCATTTTGCCATTTTTGAAAAGCTCATGAGAAATGAATGCAATAATGGATGTGGAAGTATAAAGTGTTTTGCAAACGAAAGTTATTGTCATGAAAAGAATGCAAAGCAATGCTGCTAGGATGCGAGGGTTAATGTTTGCCAGCCTACTCAGAATTCTGAGCCCAGAGTCCAGGGCTCAGACCAAACCCAGAGCTCCTGTTGCCGGATAAATGAGGCAGCCGGTGATGGCTCACTAATGTTATCACTGCCAGTGGGAGGTACGGGAAGGAAGAAGGAGAGATGCAGCCCCTGGAGAACTGTTAGCCCTTTAGGATGCAGAGTTAATTTACCTTTAATAGGAATATTTTAGGACATCTCGCCTATCCAGAATAATACTGGTAATACTGACTGTGAAGCATGTGGATGAGCAGATGCAAAGGTAGCAGAAAGGACGTGACTTGGAATGCACCTGAGCAAGGAGACACTGTCCCTGATCCACCAGGAGATGATACTGTGACTCCTCCACAAATTAAAAATGATGACAGCTCCAACTTGAAAAATGGCTCTGGCCCTTGACCTCTTCGATGATAGGAGAAAACTATACTCCCCACATTCTCTCCTAAGTTTTGGCACCGAACTCTAAAAGGCACAACCTGAAGCTGTGTTGGAAATGAATTTAGAGAGCTCAACGGCAGAGCTGAAGTTACTCTGAGGGTGTTCTTTGAAGTGAGCTCTGAAATCCTGAGCTAAGAAAGTCAGTGATCCACTTCCCTTGTTCATTCGATCCATCTTTGGAGAGATCTGAGCACAGAGTTGGGCCAGGAATACCAGTCCTAATTCTCCCCAGGTTAGAGGGAAGGAGCCACATTTTCACTGCAACAAGTGATCCTCTAGACACTTCCTGCTAGAGACCAGCACTGGGACAACTAAGAAGGCCCAGCTTCTGCATTTATTGGCAATCCTCTTCCCTTTGTATCTTGGTAGTCATTCCCTGAGAGCCTCTCTCACCTGGACACATGGGAATGTCACGTTTGCAGACACATATGTCTGCTTCCATCATGCAATTCTGGAGTCTACCTCCCACTGGCCTGCAGAAACCTGGATTCTAAGGCTGAATTTCTCTATGAGAACATGGGACAATCTTGTCTCCTCATTCAAATTCTCTGGGCCAGGGCTACTGGACAGATCTATCACATGTCACTTTTTCAAGCCTAATAATGCCTTTTCCAGACATGTTTCCAGGATGAGAAGTCACACTTCCTCATGGTTCTGAAACAATATTTACAACTTTTTCTGTGCTTTCTACCCCAAGGGCAGAAGACTTCCTGGGTGGGTTCTGCTTGGGACGAGAAGACTGATGGGAGCAGGAAAATGTCCCTGCTGTGTGGTTGGACTTTCCTGGAGAAATAATTAGAAATTTCCCCGATGCAGTAAAAACAGTCACTCTTAGCCAAGAAGACTATCTTGTATTGCTTACTCAAAGTTTTATAGTTCTTCTGGATGCTTGGGGTGGGTGTGATGATGAATCCACGAATCCAGTGGGTATCTGCCACTTGCTTGCCACAGTCTCAGTGCTCTAGAGCTTTTATCAGTCAGATAGGTTAACCTTATACTGAAGTAGCCCATGACTTTTCACACTTTGGAAGGGTCAAACTATAAAAGTGTGTTCCCTGCTTATGCTACCTGCTCACTGAATGTGGAAGAGGGTTTGGTTCATTGGAGAGACTCGAGCTCATGGAGGAGCTTCCACATTAAGCATGCTGGGTCATTATATAAAGAAGAAAACATGTATCAAGAGGGTCTCAGATCAGCAATGCAATGTTACAGTCTAAAGATAACACATGTTCAAAGTACACTGGTCCAAACTAGCCATTCGGATGCATCCAATCACAGGGGGACCAGAAAATGAAATCCTACCCTGCTCCAGAACTGGAGAGAAGCAGATGCTTTTGGCAAAAAGCACTAATGAAAACTACCAAGTACCTGGTTTGAAAAATGGATCCTGAGTTCCAAATCCTCCAGGGAAATACATAGCACCATTTGCTTTAGGCTCCAAACCAGTTTGCTTTTTTTCTCATTAAATCTAAAGCCAGGAGAAACACTTTGATAGTTCCAATGGCAATAGGAAGTTCAAAAGAGGAAGAAGTAGCTAGAGGGTCATCTGCGGAAAAGATTTTTGTCACCCTCTGGTGACATTTGTGGAGCAACACCATGTACCATGACTGTGGCTCCTGGAAGCATGACATTTAAATATTCACTGATTCCATAGAGTGTTGCACAGGTCCCAGGATGTGCTCAGAGCTGACCACAGAGCCAGGATGGTCAGTTGCTCTGTATAAAGTGAGGCTGACAGATGCCCCACACAGACAGATACCCAGCTCACTGAGGGTACAACCCCCCCACCTGCCAGACACATATGAAATCTGAAAGTTCAGCTCTTCCCCCAGTAAAGGCCAAACTGCCTCAGCCCATAAGGCTGAGCCCCATGACTAGCTCTTGTTTTTCTTCAAATTTACACTGAGTGTTTTTTACTCACTTTTTAGTTGTGTGATAAATGTTAGTGGTAACAGGTACACAGCCTCCTGTCTACTCCTTTCCGAGTACACATTGCTGGAGCCTAGGAGCAGTGCTAACTCCAGTCTAGCTCCATGTGCCCATCTCTCTGAGATTTTTCACAGATCCTCCAAGGATCAGAATCCCAATCCTAGCAGAAGCTACTTGTGGAACACTATCTTCTTTCCAAGCCAGTGCAAAAATGTAAATGCAATAACTAAATTCATCATAGAGGGGGGTGTGTTCATTCCTCCTTTTGAGGAGGAAAGCCGGGGAGAACCCCGGCTTCAGTGGGAAGGGCCATTTGGGATCTAATTAAGTCAAGAATGTGAGGCTTCTGGGAAGCAAGGCTGGCACTGGGCAAGAACACGAGAGGGACAAGAGAGGGGTTCACCCAGGAAGAAGCTAGCCACTGACTGAATCCCTGAGAATCATACTAAAGCTAGACTAGCCACTTTGTTGTGGGAAAACAGATGGCAGTGGCAGTGTGCCTTTCCCATGACCACATAACTAGTTATTGGAAAAATGAGGATAGGCTTTCAGGAATGCTGCCCCAGTGCCCGCCTTGAATTGCATGTCAAATGGGCAATGGTGATGGCTGCAAGATTCAGGCAGCCAAGAGGCACATAAGTCATCTCTGGACCTGTGATTGAAGAAGTGACCAAGACAGAGCAGCTGAGAGGTCATTGTTCAAATTATTTGGCATTCTGAAGGAAAAAAGCTACAAGTGCCCCAGGCCCACCATGAAAAAAAAGGGTAACATGTAGATTATTCCTTTCATAAGATTAATTCTGCCCTGATTTGTCATTTGGGGCTCTTGGGGAGCTTCAACTGAAACTGAAGGTTTGCTGCTTATGTATAGTTGAAAAGAAACAGTTAAGTCATAATTTTTGACCTTGGAAACTTTTTTCCTTTCACAGCCTGTAAAGACTTTAATTTGTGACACATACAACTTCAACTGCATTAAGAAGGGAAAAAATGAATTATTGGGTCTATTATTCCATTTTCCATTGCTATAAAAAATCAGAGAGTGATTTTCTTTATAAAGAAAAAGGGTTGTTTAGCTCACAATTTCAGAGGCTCAAAGTTCAAGTAGCATGGTGCTGGCTCTGGTGAGTGCCCTCCTTGCTGCATCACACATACCAGGAAGAAAGGCATCACGGCAAGGGCACCTGTGAGAAGATAGATCTCATGGTGAAGCAGGAAGCTGGACACTAGGGAGGGGCTAGTCTTGCTCTATTTTCAAAATTAATTTTTTTTAAATTCTTAAGTTCTTTTATTGGTACATTTTAGATATACAATACGTTTACATTTATCATTTGGTGTTTGTACCTGTACATGATGTATCTTGTACTCTAGTTTCTTGTTCTTTATGGCTGAGTAGTACTCTATTTTATAAAAAAACCCCACATCTTCTTCATCCAGTTTCCATTTGATGGGCACTTGGGCTGTTTGCAAGCTTTAGCTATTACAAACTGTGCCACTATAAACATGGGTGCACATATATCACTGTGGTATGATTCTTTTAATTCTTTTGGAAAGATACACAGCAGGGGAATAGCTGGGTCAAATGGGACCTCTAGTCCTAGTTCTTTGAGGTATCTCCATACTGATTTCCACAGTGGTTGCACTGGCAGAATGGATTAAGAAGCAAAATCCAACAATATGCTGCATACAAGAAACACACCTAACTCAAAAAGAAATTCATAGAATGAAAGTAAAAGGATGGAAAACAGTTCTCCACTCCACAGGAACCCAGAAGAAAGCAGGGGTAGCAATCTTATTTGCAGACAAAGTAGATTTCAAACCAAAGCTAATTAAGAGAGACAAAGATGGTCACTACATCCTTCTGAAGAGAACAATCCAAGAGGAAGAGATGACAATCATAAATACATATGCACCAGATATGAGTGCTCCCAACTATTCAAAACAAATATTAATGGACATGAAATACCAAATAAGCGCTAATATAATTGTAGTGGGGGACCTCAGTATTCCACTATCACAAATAGACCATTTAGACAAAAAATTAACAAGAAAATTCTAGAACTGAACTAAGTTATTGAACAAATGGACTTAATAGATGTTTACAGAGTATTCCACCCCACAAAATCATAATACACATTCTTTTCAGCTGCACACGGGTCATTCTCCAGAATATACCACATACTAGCTCATAGGACATGTTTAAGTAAATGTAAAAGAATTGAAGTTACCCCCTATATATTATCAGACCATAGTGCAATAAAATTGGAGATCAATAACATAAGAAACCACAAAATTAATTTTATTGGTATGCTTTTGATATACATTATGATCACATTCTTTGTAGGGAATTTGTAGAGTCACAAAAACTACAGCAATTCCTTCCCATAGCAGCATCTCCCATGACCTAATCACCTTCCACTAGGCTTTCCTCTTAAAGGTCCCATCACCTCCCAAATCTACCATATTGGGGAGCAAGCTGCCAACACATGAACCGTCTGTGGACACACTCGATCCCTATCCTACTATTGGCCAAATAACTGAAAAGTCAAAGATGTTGCTTGATTCAGATATCAACTAAACTGCTGGCCTCAGAAATCTTTATTTTCCTTCATTTTCTTCACTCTTATGAAGTTGAATCTTTTCATAGAGCAATGACATAGCTGCTCACAGGACCAGATACTCATTTTTACAACCTAGTGCCACCAGTGGAAAGACAACAGCTCAGAAAACATCCCACAGCTGCCTCTCATTGGCCAGGCATAGGTCATTTTTCATCCTGAGCCTACAGCTGTTTTAAGACAAGCAACACAGTGAACCAACTCCCCATATGACTCTTCCTCCTTCCCTCAAGTGGCAATCACTGAAAAGGAAAGGAAATGATTGCTACAGAAAATAAGAATGCTATTTCTAGAGAAAGAATGGATGGATACATTGATAAGCAAGCAGAAATGATTATCACTCACTACAAACACCTGCTGATCTTCTATACCACTAGTTTCTGAAGTGCTGTGCTGTATCCTCCTCTCTTTCAATCTCTCTCTCTCTCGCTCTCTCGCTCTCTCATCATTAGTTACTGGTGCTAAATGCCTATTTGTTTAATTCAGTGAGGTTATTTTTGGGTCTAAAGAGGCTGAACCCAAACAAGTACAGGATGTCCCCTCTCCAGTCAAAAAACAAACACAGAAAAAAGTGAGACTCACTCTAAGGTGGATAATTCTTGTGCTTTTTGGAAGATGTAGGCCCTCTACTAACAATGGTATACACTAAGTTGAAGTGTATAAAGTCTTTGGGTTGTTTATAAAGTGCAGTTGCTTAATCCAAATTTCTTTCATTCAAATTAAATGTCTCTGCTTACCTAATTGTTTACAGAAATTCACACAAATGAGATTAACATTTAAAAACACAAGATAATTAAGTCTGATTGCTCCAGAGCAGGTTGATGACAGCCCTGGAAATGTGCCAACACTAATTGGCTGAAGATATTTCCCATACAGTTAATTGCAAATGGTCATTGAAAGCCCTTGAAATTAACTTAGGTCCCCTCAGCTGGAGTGTGGAGAAGGGATTTAGAAGTGTGAAGGAGACCATGGGTTGTAGAGAGGACCCACCAGGGACATCTGGTCCTTCCTGTCCCAGACAGCTGTTCAACTAACATTGTCAAATCTTGTCACTTCTCTGGGTGTTGGTTTTCTGATCTGTACATGGCTGTGCTAAGTAGGGATAGTGAGGTCATGTCAGAGCGGCATGAGCTGACTTTCTGTGATCTCCTCCAACTTTGACTATTCTTTGACTTTGTGCAAGGACTATGCTGGGAGTGGCAGGGACAGAAAAAGATGACTGAGTCTTTAAGGCACTTGCCAGAGATATATGGGTAACTTTTTAAAAGACAAAATAAAGTAGAGAGGGATACTGGTTATAGAATGATGGGGTGAAGGAGAAGATGGATTACCAGGTCAGGAAGACTAGGAGAATCAAGGAAACTTCATTAGGAATATTCTCTTGAAATGAGGCCTTAAAAGAAAAAGTTGTGCAGAAAGACACACATGTGCATGGTGTGTTAGGAGAAGCCTCAACATTTGGTGAGACTGGAGCATTCTGTTGTTGAGAGATGTTCTACTTTTTGTGTGCCAAGGACTAGACTTTCAGGCCCATTTCCTAGCAGGTCTCATATGAGACAAGGCATCCTAAAAGAACTGGAGATCACTGTGGCTCAGGAGGAAGAAGCAGGCATCAGGGTACAAAGTAGCCTGGTAACCAGGTTTTCTTCCTGTCCCTTCAGCAGCATTATGTTCCAATATCTACCCTAGTGCTTGGTTCTTACTGTAAATCAGATCTCCTCTACCTCAGAATCATTCCTCTGTATGGAATAGGCATCAGATGATTGCCCTCCACCTTCCTAATTCAGCAAATAGCTTCCCATGCCTCCGAATAGCTCTGCATCTTCCCCCACTCTGCAATTTTTTGTTTTTACTTTGGTTTTCCACAATAATGAACAAAATCCAGCCCACATATCTAGATAACATCCTTGCAAAGGCAAATCTAGTTAGCCTTAACTACAAATACCTGTTACTGACCAGATTTTTGATTGTGTATCCAGTACTAGTCAGACAGTCACATGTAGGACAGAACATGGACACTTGTCAGTGATGTTCAGGATTCTTTGTCTCTATGAGCAGCTGTAAGAAAGGACTTCTCAGCACCATTTTACAGTATTTGGTAGATTGGTATTTCTAATATTAAAAAGTATAAGGAGATAAAAGGTGGAGAAAGTGGCTTAGAATAAGTGCATCGAAGAACCTGAATTTGAAACCAGTGAGTCTCAACCTTGACCATGTATCTATTAGACTCCTCTGGAGAGGGCTATCTTCAGGTTCTAATTCATAAGGTCTGGGGTTGGGCCTGAAAAATCTTATTTCTGGCAAGTTCTCAGGTGATGCTGATGCTACTTGCCCAGGGACTGGGTAATTTATAAAGAATAAAAGTTTATCAAAGGCTGGAAATCAAGGAGCATGGGACTGGCATCTGGTGAAGACCTATACTGTGTCACAACATGGCTTAGGGCATCGCATGGCAAAACAGAGCAAGCATGCCCAGGAGACCCTGATTTTATAGCAAAGCTACTCCTTCCCTCAGTAACCCATTAATCCACTCATACAGCAGAGTCTTCATGATCCAGTCACCTCATGAAGGTTCAATCTCTCAACAGTGTTGCACTGGGGAGTGTTATGGCTTAGATCTAAAATGTTCCTCAGAATTCTCACATGTGTGGGAGGTGATTTATATCACGGTGGCACTAGAGCTGACTTGCTGTTAGGTGGTAGGGTCTAGGTGGAGGTGAGTCTCTGGAATGTGACCTGGTAGGTGTATTCTTGGCCCTGGTTCCTTCCTTTATTCTCTACTTCCTGGGTCCATAGGTTAAGCAACTTTTCTGACCATTCCCTTCCACCATGTTGTTTCTCCCAACCATGGCAGTCAGCCAACCATGGACTAAAATTGTGATCCCTAAAAGAAATCTCTCCTCCTTTAAGTTGTGGGTACTGAGCTTTGTGTCCAAGTGACAGAAAAATGACTAAACCAGGGACCAAGTTTCCAACACATGAACTTCTGTGGCACACCTTGAAGCATACCTTCACTTATTAGTACAAGTAGTATACACACACACACACACACGCACAAAGAAAGGAGATTTACTACCTCTATGAAGCCAAGGTTCAGGGAAGTTGGGCCTAATGTCAAGCAGCTCATAACAAGAAGGCTTAAGCACTTGATTTCAGATCCTCCCTGCTATTGCTATCAGGTGCTGCCCATCAGCCTAGCTGTAAATTCACTCAGCCTGAGGAAAGTTTTCTCTAAAAGATGAAAAGAAGTTTCTTCAAACTTCTGAATGTGAAAAATAAAATTTAATAAAGTTTTTCAGGGAAAATTTCATTGTGACCTTGGAGTAGAGAAAAAGGGGCTAATCATAAAGATAGATATATCTATAGCTATATATCTATATAGCTATAGATATATAGATATAGCTATAGATATAGCTATATATCTATACATAGATATATTTATATATTGAACCACATAAACACATGTGACCCCAGCACTCAGGAAAACTGAGGTAGAAGGATCCAAATTTAAGCCCAGTCTGGGAAACTTAGTGATGTAGTAAGACCCTGTCTCAAAAATAAAAGGA